TATATATATATATACACATATATAAACCGTTTTGACATGTACAGTGGTATTTTTGAAATAAATAACCACCTAAATAATAATATCAAAATATATCAAAGATCTTTAGTACTGCCACAGTACATTTTTAAGGTACTGGTTTCTAAGCATCACACTAATAGAGCATCTGCACCCTCACCTCCTGCTCATGTTCAATCCTCATGCTGGGATTGGCATTGACCTCTAATAAAACAGGCTTCAAGTTTTTCATCAGCAGGATATCAAAGCCCAGGATCTAAAATTGGAACACATCATCTTCTGTTATTCACTATTTATTGACTTTGAAAACCAGTGAAATGCAGAGAATTAGGGATCGCCTGGTGAAGGAAAAACATAGTTAACAGCATATGGGTATGTGCTCGTTTTTCTCATTTTAATGAGAAAATGCAAAACACGTCACACACATAAAGGAATTCATTGCAAATATACCTGAAAACATGTCGGTCCTGGTTTTCCAAGTGGAATATCTGCCTGATAATACACCTTCAGTTCAGGCACAAGTGCAATTACGGTCTTGATAACCAAAGCGATAATGTCTGACCAGACCTTCTTGATGTCCACTCCTTTAGATGCCAGGCGATAGAGAACGCTAGAGAAAGTGCGTTTACTGCCAGTGCTGCAGCTGTCGGAGTGAACAAAGTTCCCGCTGTGCACATTAAGGGAGTAGTTGGTGAGGTGCATAAAAACATGACTGAGGTTCTTCTGGCTGGGTTCTTGGTAGGGTTCTGTGCAGAACCTTGACAGACCCTCTTTAGCGATGTAGATCTCTAGAGGCTCCAAGGAGCGGACCAGAACATACAGGCGGATATCAAACTTCAGTTTATCGATGAGCAGGGGTTTCTGGATGTATTCTTGAACAACTGCTTGTTTGATCTGAGAACCTGAGATGACCCGAAGGTCAGCAGGGTCACGGATGAGGTAGATGCCATCGCCCTGGGATCCGCTGTCCGGTTTGACAATAAAAGTGGGTTTGAGGGTTGAATCATTATCTTTCAGGAGACGAATCTTAAAAAAAAAGGGGGGACAAAAGCGGAAGGTGAACAGTGACATTTTTTTCTAATATGCTTGGAAAATAACTTAAAGAGGCCATCTCTTGAAATAAATAACCCTTTCAAATCTGAATTACATTTCAGTGACACAATGCTTTATTTCTACTCTTAATGCTGTCTCCAGCTAATGTTTAAGTGCTCTGAATGCTAAAAAAAAAAAAAACAATAATAATAAAAGTAAAAATAATAAGATTATAAACAAAATAACACAAGGCTGATCTAACGCTTAATTTAAAAAAAAAATAGTTAAAGTTTAAAAGGCAGTGAGTGCTGGTGACTATCCACTAATAGCATTATGGTTATTAGGGTTGGTAAACAAAGCCTCATATTTCCAACTTATACAATGGTTTTCTTTAGCTGCATACATGTTTTCTCTTT